GCTCTGGCCCTGCTATTTCTAAACTGCATGGACTCTACTACACTCTACTACAGCATTCAAAAAGCACTCAGGAAAAAGACTTGCACACTTTACAATAAACAGGCTATTTCAGTTTCTGAAGAAGTCAGGGCAAAAAGAAGGTGCATTTTTTTTCTATTCTCTTCTTTTCTAGAATACGTTTTGAACCACCATTTCAAGTATAGTACAATCACCATTTTTCATGTGCATACCTGCATTCCCAGCAGACTACAATCAAATCTCACAAGATTTGTTTCTAGGACAGACCAAAATATCTCAAAAATAAATTGAAGGAAAATTATCCTCTGAAAAGCTAACATCCCTAAATTTCTCACTTTAAGACCTGACATAACCACTCACCTAAACTGTGAACAGAGCCCAAAACTGCGCTATGGGAGACAGCAAGTCAAGGACTGATGCTACCTTGCACATGGTGGTCAAATAGTGACATGGAGACTTTTGGAAACACCTCAGACAGAATTTAATCAGTTCCATTTACAAATAGAATCATAGAATCATTTAGTTTGAAAAAGACCACTCAGGTTGTCTAGTCCAATTGTAACCTTGCTCTTGGCTCAAAGTGCTCAACCATGTGCTTAAGTCCACTTGTGCGCCTTAAAAACTCTATACAATAATTACTGAAGAAAAAAATCCAGTGTGAGATTCATCTCTCATATCTCTGTATCTTTCTCTTTACTTTCTGTAGCCTAAAGGTCTTAGACACCTTATTTGTTCCGAAATAGAAGGGCTCATTTTTTACTATGGTCATATAGAAAATCATAAATAGTGTCATGGCAATAAAAAAAAAATAATATCTGAGCAAGATAAATCCATCAATGACATGAAACATTCCTTCACTTCTACTCTTTCCTTTCTTAACTGATAATGTTTGGAACAAGGATTGTACTTCTCGGCAGCCTGTGAATTAGCCAACATTCATGTGTTATTGTTTTCAAGCAGTTAAAAACTGCTCCAGAGCCTCCGATCTGCAAGCCTGTCTCCAGTAGTTTGTTGGATTGAGCTGGGAGATAATGGATTGACATCATTCCTGGTCTTGGCCAAGTGCTGTTGCTACAGTGCTCAAGGTCATTCACGGCTTACCTCTGTGTGTGCTGGGTGATCTACAGCAGCGCTCAGCCGTGCTGATGTGTTCATCGTTCTCTGAAGGCAGTGACCAATGTTGAGCAGCTGGCTGTTTGATCTTCCCACTGCTTTGCAGGCAGTACCATGCTGCTCAGAAAATTAAAGGGGAAAAAAACACCATTGAAAACATTTATCAGCTAACGTCATAGAACCACGCTTGACCTCCATATCTTCTCTTGTTCCCCAAAGGCAACACGTGTAAAGCGTTTCCTGTCTTTCATGTTAACTGGAATGCATCATGAGGTCCAAATGTACAACCTGCTGTCTGTTTTAGTCATTAGGCATAATTTTCTTTGTCTCTTGATTAGAGCTTCAGCCAACTGTTCACTGTTGTAATGCATAACTCTTTTATTATTCCCTCCCTCCCCGGAACAAACGACTAACTAACCAGTCAGGTTGAAAGTTGAAATTCACTCAAGGCTGCTGTGTCTTACACTGTCTTTTTTTTCCACATCAGCACATCCTCCTTTGCTCAGGACCACCAAAACAGAGTAAATAACGTCCACCTTTCCACCTTCTATTGAAAGGCTGAAAAACAGATGGTAGTTAAAAACAATTAAAAGGAACTCCTGGATTTCAAGATATGTTCTGCCCCCATATCCGTCTGCTTGAGCATGATAGTTGTAGGTTACTGGCTGCAACTTGGCTCTATATTTGCGGATTTCAGTAACACTGAAGGAGTATTTTTCTAGAATGACGCCCAGTTTGCAGAGACATGCTAGAAATTAAGAAATTAAGCTGTTGTGTTATCTTCTCCATCTGCAGTATGCTGGAAGATTGCTCACAAAATTGTTACTTGGTATTTTCACTTCTGACCACCTTCAGACTCAGCTGACAACAGCTTAGAAGGGTCGTAAAACATACACAAAGACAGCAAAATACCAGCCTGGCTATCTTTTGATCCCAATAGGCGATACGCATGTACTGGTTATGCCCTCATTCCACTAACATTATGTATATACATGCAGTAAATGTCCTTAACATGAAAGAAAACCTTGGAATTCCTGATCATACTTATGATAATAAATCTTCATCAGTGATCTTAGGTTCGAAAAAAAACAAAACTGAAAATTGTGTACAGGCTGAACTGTTATCGACTTTGAAAACTAGATCAGCCAGAAGAATCTTGCCCTGGAAGTGATGAAGCAAATACAAATATGTATATGTGCATGTAAATGAATGAATGAATAAATAAATAAATACATACATACATACATAAATAAGCAAACAAATAAATAAATAAAGCTATCCATGAGGCTATCCCCTAATTCCTAAGATAAGAGTCTGTACCACAAGGAGCAAAGTTAGCAAAACTTGAGTTCCTTTGTTCCCAATGTCTCCACCCAGTGCAATAACATAACCATCTGCTCCCTTTGCTACAGCCCTGGCTGCAGATACCTGCAGTGGCCAGTCTGGAGACGGAGACGTGGGCTGGCCCTGCAGCTCCCATCAAACCCTTGTAACTGATGGTTTCTGACAGTGCTTCTGTGTGCAAGAGCACTACCATTAATTTTTTCCTTCTAACCAGTTTTCAATTCTCATAGACCTCATAGGAAATTAAGGTGATTAAAACCTATCTCAACTTCAGCTGGAACTGCTCATCCACCTCCAAGGCTGATGAAGGAGAGGCTGGCCAGCCGGTTGGATGCAGAGGGCTGGTTGTGAAGTTACAAGTAGCCCATTCCTCTCATTCAGCACAAACAGCCAAGCTCTGAGCATTAGAAGTATAACAATCTGTGACCACGTTACATCAACAGTTGAACAGCTGTTTTGTAACTTATAAGGCCGTTTCATATTTTCTTGTTTGCTGCTTGACATCAGCCTTTGGAAGCAAGCTGAAAGACTCCAGCTTACCTCACCCGCTCTTCTGCAGACACAGTGGTGTCACTCCTCTGTGTCCCATCTTATATCTCAAGGACTGGTCTCATTTTGTTTAGAATTACAAGGCAGAAAACAGACAAAAAATACATTTCAAATGCTAGGAATATCTGCCAGTTTTCTCTTTCACTTAAAAACTCTGTCCTGAAAGGAGGAAAAATATTGAATTGAATTATTCCACAGCAGCAGAAGTTTCAGCCTTTCCAAGAAAAGTTGCAGGATCCCAGGCATACGTCACTTCTTTGGAAGTATGGGATACTACAGCTATTTTTGCTCAAGGACTTCAACCAGAGCTAGCAGTCTTTAACAGAAAGTGCCTGCTCAAGCCAAACGCCTCTCAGACTTCCTTTTCCCAGGCCTCGCCTGACCATACCTATTTACTTGAAAAGTGTGAGCTCTGGTGGAGTACAGGTGTTAAGTTATTCCATTGGCAGTTACTTTCCTTAGGGACGCCTACCTGTGCGACCTGCTGTAGAGAACCTGCTTTGGCAGGGGGGTTGGTCTCGATGATCTCTGGAGGTCCCTTCCAGCCCCTGCAATTCTGTGATTCTGTGATTCTTATAGCTCAGATTAATTAATTGACTCTCACTATCCACTTAGGCCCTGGATTTTCTTGTTAATTTTAAACAGATACTACACAGGTCATTCTGGGAAAGCTGTCATAGAAAGAATTACAAACATCTTTTAAAGCAAGATTCTGCCTACAAGACAAATGTCTCTAATTCAATCCATCAAAAATTGTCTGAATAAATCAATAGAGCAATAAGATCTGCTTGCCTGATAGATGGTATCTCTACTCATAGAAATTACTTAGTTACTTCATCATTCATGGAAATTTGCATCACCATCAGTCACGTTTGTTATTTACAAAGCTTTGTGTAAGGTTAAAACAAAAGAAAAAGCAAATAAGCATAAAAGTCCATCTCCAATACTTCAGACTATGGCAAATTATCATCTTCCAACAGCAAAAAGGCTATGGCAGGTTGGAGACATGGTGTTTGACGCTGGCATTACCATCAGGTATATTCATACTGTCCCTTAAGCAAAGTTTATTCACTAATTTATTGACTTAGTCTTGCAAAATCCAATCAAATCGTGTGTCCTTTTCTTCGATACTGGTTTTATTTTCTGTGAACTCTATCTCATAGTTGGCTCCAAATAACAAGTTTGATATCACATCCAAATGGGATCTGAACTACTGCACAAGATATGTATTTAATACTTCACATGACCACATCTAATTTCAGTAAGCGTAGTCACAATACTGCATTACGTAGTCCCATATATATACGTAGTATACGTGTATATATATATATATATATATACGTAGTCCCAATACTGCATTCAAGCAACAGCAAGTCTTCACTTGCTGTTCACTGATTCAGGGAATATAGCTTTTCCATATTTTGAAGTTGATTTGCCACAATGTCACATGTTCAGCCTCAAGTGCAGACATTAGTCTTTTTCTATTTATTTTTTTTTTGTGTGGTCAGCTTAGATAAATTGACTGTGCCATCCATAGCTCTACAGATCATAGCATGCAACCCAACGTATAGTTTGGAGTCACAGTATAAAAAACACAAACCCTTAACTACTTCCACAACATTTCTAAGTCACAAACTGACTTATTGAGAAAGGGTAGACATTGCATTTCAACTCAGTCTGTCCATTTTGACCATCTACATATACCTGCAAACAAATTTCATGATCGCTCATAAGTTACAGCCCCAAATTTACAATTGCTACCTAACTGTCATGGCTTTATGATTTTTGGTTATCGATATTCCACATCATAACATCATGTAGTGCACTGGGAGTTTAACTGTTAATGCTCCAGTTCTGGGCACTGTCCGGAAGAGAAGAAGAGCTACATACCCCAGGGGGCTCTGCGGTCAGAGAGGAGATATAACCCCTGGCAAGGTCATCTGATGTGAGGCCTATCCACCTTATGACACTCTCATTATATTTGATTTACTAGCTTTAATTCTAGTTATATTGTAGTGTGTTATCTTGCATTCCGATACTATATTTAGTAAATTAGTTTGTTCTCCTCAGATCGTTGCCACTGTTTTTCACTATTTTGGGGTCCCCTGTTTTCTTTTTCCAGAGGTGCGGCTTATGCAAAATCCCTCTGCCCCATTAGTCACGGAAGCGGGCTGAACCAGCCCGTAAACCATTGACACTAACAGATATCCAAAAAAGCACACCTAGGAATGTAACTTAACCCAGCAGTGTTCAGGCCTCTTTAAAAATAGACAGTCTGACAAAAAACCATGCATCTAAATGACTTTGCAAATTAATGGGTAAGCAGTTGTCACCCCAGATAAACAACATCTGACGGGCAAGATGGATGGCTGTGAAAAGTAACCAAGAGCATTTTGAGAAGACAAAATCGATACTGACCAAATCAGGCAGAAGTCAGAGCAGAGGCTCAACAGAAGAGAAAATCTGTGGAGGATAACCAATAGTGCTGGCTTATTTTAAGCATGTCTTACAAAGCCTTTCACTGTAGCTTTGTCCAAAATCAAGCTAAGTTTAAAAATATGTATAATTGAAAGTGATTTATAAGTGCTTGGGTGGCAGCGACAGGGCAGACTGAAAGACATTAACATTAATGTGTATTTTGGGGAACTTGGAACAAAAGTAATGCCTTATCTTCTATGAACTGCATAACTTGTATGAATTACTCAGTGCCCACAGACTAAAAAATTTTGCTAAAGGAAAAAAGGTAGCCCTCTATTTCTTTTGATCATTGAAAGAAACGGGACTGTGCTAAGGGGAAAGCGAGTCTGGCACATTAAAAATCATTGCTAAGGAAAGCACTAGTGGCCAGACCACACTCGTGATTCAGTCAACTGCCTACAACTAGGCAATAGGAATGGTTTAAATTCTCAGCTTTTCTGAAGGATGAAGCTTTCTCCCTACTCATCTTTGTCACCATATGAAGAACTGAGAGAGCGTCTGGCAATGAAGAACACGTTAATCATGTTATTGTGACAACCACAACTGTTACGAAACAGATATTCTTACAGCACATACTAACCTCCCCTGACACTTTTTTTTTCCTCATTCAAAACCTGTTGAACATTCACTTCAAACACACTGAGACACATCTCTAGAAAATCACCGATGCCACGAAGAAATCTGTTTCAGGTATGTGCAACAGAAGCTGCCTGTAATACGCTAGTGGTATTTATTGTCTGGATGTACCTTTGTTCCCAAATCTGAAGTCATGCAAATATTTCTCAGAAAAGATGTCTTTAAACAGTCTTCAGGAACAACCAACTGTAAGACAAAATGTCTGACTGAAACATATATATCTTTGATTTAGCTCTATAATTTATTCTTACCTGAATATTTACTCTTTACAGTGGAAAGCGATAGGGAAATTTTTGAATAAAGCTGAGCTCAAACACACACAGTGTGAAATTATTGTCAAAGCTAATATTTAAAGTTTTCAAATGTGCTTAACAAATATTACAGAAGCAATGTCTGTAGAATAATGTGGATGGACAAAAATAGGATTGCTTTTGGAACACTTTGGTCTAGGAAGAATTCCTAGCAGACTGACTCTTCTCCTAGAACAGACACCCTACTGGACATTGTGAAGTGTTATAACATTATCTGAAAAGGCATTAATGGAAGCAGGGTCAGTCATCACCTTCCATGGCCCTACAGAGTGCACAAGAGGGCTTGCTGCTGAACATCCAACCCGGCCTACAGTCTCCACTCTGAGATGATGAATGGCGTTTCTGCTCCATCACTTGCAAAATTTCCAGTCTTTTCATACTGCCATTATACTGCATTTCTGTTAGGTTAAATGGAAAATAGTTGTGCTACTCACACATGTTGCACATTCAAACATTCAAATGTTGGTAATTTAGTCCTGACTGCTACAGTTGGTCATTTTGAAAATATCTTCTACAGCCACTGTACAATTATGTAATTATTTGCCTGCTCAGTTATCACAGGCAGGAAAGTGAATATAAATTTTGGCAGTGAGAAATCAAAGGCAGTATAGAAAACCAAGTGCTGTTCACTGGGCTCATAAAGCTAAATCACATCTGCATCTTCGCTAGGACTGCACTGCATGGCCTGACAGAAGAGTACCAGGAAAGTGTCAGGGATCCAGACTCCTAACTACTCTTCCTCCACTCTGCTCATGAAGTTGCTGAACCCCTTTTACAGCTGAAGATGGAGCCTGGCTAGATTTTGTCATGCACTTAAAAGGTCCATAGTGAGGCAGTCCTAATCATAATGTGCAAGGACAGTAACGATGTTACTCTGCCATTTGCTCCTTTACAGCTACAAGTGGGACAACCCCGTTTTATGTATTAGACAGCGGATTTGCTGAACGCTCAAATAGGGATTACACAGTATTACTGGAGCAAAATGATCTTTGTAGCTTTGATGAAGACTCAAAGGGATGGGAACAACTGATGACAAGATGGTGCAGAGAAGAGTCTCTTCGTAAGTCCATTAATAGGTTCTATGACAGGGACTACAGTAAATTCAATTTTTTCCAACAGTATTAGTCTAAGTGTAACTTTCAGGCAAACTTTCTACAAAAGAGAGAAATAAAAGAGAGATATAGGAATGAATAAAGAAGAAAATAAGAAAGAAAGAAGAAGAGAAAAGAAAAACAGAAAAAGAAAGCTTAACGAAGCAAGGACTCTCTTCCAAATTTTTGTAGAAATGCCTTGCTGCTGAAGATACTAGAGAGGACTCAGTCTAGCAGCCAGAATGTTGGAAAGCAGTTTAGTGTTGAAGCAAGGCAATTGAAGAAAACCTGCTCTAAATGTTAAAATCTAATAATTCTGTCTTACAGGGAGAAAGAGTCAGGAACCCAAAGTAAATATCCACTTGTCATAGCAGCAAATCACTGGTGTCTGCTAACTACAAGTTTGAAAGATGCCATGGAGCAAGCAAGGCAGTTCTAGGTGTATTTGATTAGTTTAATAACTGAAGAGCTTGAGTTCTTTCCTAGAGTCAACAAATTCAGCAAAGGGCCTCTACATTAATTGCAACCACATCACGTTCTTTTGGAATATGAGAAACACAACAATCCCTATAAAGACTGTAAAACAGCCATTGTCATTTGGGGATGCTATTAATCAATGCATTCTCGTGTATTTTGCCTTCACAGCTCCCTTGCCTAGATTTCAGTGTAACAGCTCACTGGGTTTTAACTCAAAGCAGAATGGCCATGTACAGCCATGCAAGAGGTCAGTGTTTTCATTCCAGCACTCTGAATGTTTACCTCTGACCTCTCCTGCCAAGGGGAGACCCTGACATGTCCGCAGGCATTACAAGCACCACAATGAGCAGTCCCACAAAAAGGATTGGAAATACCTCCTTCATTCTGAGAGTACCTTCCACATTTAGACACTCCCCACATTGTTGCTTTTTTCTCCACTCCTAGAAAATCAAGAGGTGCTACAAGAGGAGAGAGGCTAAACTCTTCTTGCACTATCTCAAATAGGCTGTTTTTCAATAAAGAACAAGGCTAGGCTCCCAGGCAATAGAAAACATGTAGAAAGAGGGAGAGATGACTAGTGTCTCGCAGTGCTGGTATAAGCTAAACTACTTTGTACTTCAGTTCCTTAGAAATTGATACACAGGTTATAGCTGACCACAGACAGGACAGGCGTGAACAATATCGCTTTGCAAAAAGCTTCAGATACCATGCTGAGCTGTATAAGTGGGAACACAACTTGCAAGGGAAACAATCTCCTCACTTATCTGAGCAGCCACGGTAGAAGCCCTCAGCTGTCATACTGTGTCTACTTTCATGCACCATACTGCAAAGATCACAGACTATCCTGAATTGGAAGGGGCCTGTAAGAATCATCAAGTCCAACTCCTGGCTCCACATAGGACCAAAGATGTGGTTTAATGGGGGGAAGAAGCCAGAAGACAGAAAAAAATATCATCGAACAATACAAACTCTGAGGAAGAGCTGACTATATCAGAGATTTTCAGCCCAAAGAAGAGTGGACAAGTGAGTGCAGATAAGTCTTGATGGATCTAAAATGCTGCTCCACAAAAAGGAACATGTTTATGTTCTCCATACGCACCAGGGAGTAAGACCAGAAATTATGTAAAAGACAGCCTGGAATACTTAAACTCAATATTAAGGCAAATCTTTTGTCATTAAGAGCAAGCATTTGCCTAAAAAAGCTGCACTCTTGTCTTCACTCCTTAAACAATTAGGGTTGTTTTTTGTTGTGGTGGGTTTTTTGTTGTTGATGTTGTTTGTTTTTGTTTGTTTGTTTAGTACAGATCTCATGCTTTAGGGCAGGAAATCAGATTTAAGGCCATCTCAAAATCCGTTCTGGTTGTCTGACTGTACAGCTCAGCAACCTTCACTCCCAAATTTCCCACTCACCATTTTAATAGTCTTCTGTATCAGCTTAAACTCCTGCACAAACCTCCCAGGAATGCTGAGCAGATATATTTGCACTCCTAAGACGTTCCCTGGGAAAGACAGGAATATTAGTCATTTAAGTTGAAAAAAAGGAGAATAATAATAATAATAATAAAATACAAACAAACACAGAACAGAAACCAACAGTGATCAAACAGGATTGTTATCTCATTAAGAAGTAAAACATGAGACAGAAAACACACTTGATAAAATAAGGTAGTGGCAGGCACTCCAGTAAAAAAAAAAAAAAAAAAAGTTACAACGGTGATGTTCTGTTAGCAAGCTGGAAGCTACTATATACCCTTGCTGGAGCAGAGAAGTAAAACTCATTCTGCCAGCTTGAGTCACAGCCAGCGTAGCGGGGGCTGCTGCTTGGTCGCACTGGATATCTACACACTGCACTGGCTGATTTAGTGCCACTGTGCTTTGCAGTATCAGTAGCTGAAGCATTTTTCCAGACACAGAATCACAGAATCACACAGAATCACAGAATCACCCGGGTTGGAAGGGACCTCAAGGATCATGTAGTTCCAACCCCCCTGCCTAGCAGGGCCACCAAACGTACACATTTAGATCAGGTTGCCCAGGACCCCGTCCAACCTGGCCTTGAACACGTCCAAGGACGGGGCATCCACAACCTCCCTGGGCAGCCCGTTCCAGGGCCTAACCACTCTCCTTGTAAAGAACTTCCCCCTAACATCCAACCTAAATCTTCCCTCCTTCAAAAAGGAGGGAAGAAACCAGAAAGCAACTTTGTGTGTTACAGGATACCTTTGGAGTGCCTTCTATATCCCTCCCTTTTTGTTTCTTTCCTTTTCCTGATAAGTAAAGTAGGAATTATTTAGTTCAGATTTACTTCTTACAACCAATCTGTTAAAGAAGTCCTCTGAGCCTAGCAGCCCATAGCTGGGACACCAGCGCTCTTATCACAGAAACATGAAGAAGAGGACGAAAAGGATCTCAGTTAGCCATTCCCCACCCATAAATCAGGCAGGCAAAAAGAAGACAGCTGGGTAAGACAAGCCTGCAATAGAGTTGTTCTTCCATGTGGCTTTATGGAGCAGTTAACTTTTATTACCTGGTAATTACTTTGTGAGATTTCAGACAAGCTGACTCTACAGCCCACATGACAACGGGGTTGCGTGGGCAGCTGGCTTGCGAAGATCCTGCTGCAAGACTGATGCTGCAAAGGGGGAAGCTGGTCCATTGGGAAAACTGAGTCCAAGAATATAGCTTGGCTATACATCGATACAGTTAGTACAAATACCAGCTCTCAAGGCAAAAATAGAAAATTAAAATGGAACCTGCAAAAAGAATACAGTGAATAGGAAGAAGGTATCAGATGCAGACTTAAAGCACAGAACAATAAATGTAAGAACAATAAGGCCTGGATAGCAGGTGAGCGGGGACTGGGGGACAAAAATGTGCCCATTAACAGAAATGCAAGGAGCCTCAGAGCTGAGATGGGAAGGCTAAGATCCGTGCTGCAGAACAGACACGTGCTTATAATGAGACCACTGTAGCTGGTCCAACAGTGAGCAAGAGAAGTGAGAAGTGAGTTAGAAGAGGAGAAATGGCACAGGGAATATGCACAATTCTAAGCAGAAGCAGTATACTCCATCATACAACAGCTGTTGCTTTAAAACTTTGGGTACTACTAGCAAGAAAATTGTTTGATATATTTTTCTTCATTGTTCATTACTACAATGCTATTTCTTCATGAAGGCAGTAATGCAGAAGATTTGTGAACAGAACCTGATAATACTTGAAGGATCAGTAATAGCATTTTTCTCTGTGGAGGCATGGATTTTTCTGAAACGTGAGCATTTTGGGGGACCTCAGAGTACTTTCAGTGAACAGATGCCAGTTGATTACTTAGTAGACCAACAGAGATGTTTTGATCCTGTGTACCTGTTCTAAACTACATTTAAACCTTAAAGATAAAAAGATATCAAACAATCCTAACCCATGTGATAAACAGATGCCAAAGTTTCCTAGCTCTTCTGTTCATTCTCTGCAATAAAAAGCAAAAGCTATGGTTGATTTACTGTGCACTCAAATGTTGGGAGAATCCAGGAACATGTGGGATCAGTTTAGGTCGGGATCAAAACCCCATAATTTAGCAAGAGAGCAACTTCCAAACTAAGCTCATGTTTTTTCAGCCTGTACTTTTTGTGCTGTTACTATGTGCCAGTACCTCGTAAATGTCCTAAAAACTGAAACAACCCTATTCTTCATGGGTAGCAGCTTTTGCCCCCCTAACTTAGAAATACCCATTCTAGCATAATTCCACATCGGCAGTCCTTGCAGCTATTCAGTTGCAATCTGACCTCCAGGTCTGATGGCAGCTGAGCTGTTAACAGAGTTTTCTCATTGCCAGTAAGAGAACAGAATCTTCTGTTTTTCGTTTTTGTCTAACATCTATCTCAGTTCAGCTAAGACCTCTGCTCCCCTGTAGAGTTGGCCAAAGAGTGGGAGATCTCAGAGATAAGAGCGAGACTCTAGTTCCAGCAGAAGTATGTGAGAGAGAGGAGTAAGCTACAAAAGCAGCTAAAAGACTCTCTCTCATGAGCTGCTTCGTCTGTGTAACACAGATAATAATGCACATTTGAAACGTTTTGATTTCTGTACTGTGTGCTCATCCACATGGCGTTGTTAAAGTCTGGTTATTTCCGATCCCACTGCATTAAAACAGCAAGCTCAGAAGAGTGTTGTGCAGCAGACAAATTGGACACGCATCAGAGACCCAACTTGAACATATTTGTTAGAGGAATGGTGCTTTTTGATGAACGCTGAGAGCCAAAAACTTGTCTTTATCACAGAAGTTGCTGTCTGCAGGGGGAGGCATGGCTGAGAGCAGTGCTGGGGGAAGAGCAGCCAAACGACTGGTATCTCACTCAAACAACACAGGGACATGCTGCGCTCAGGAAGTGGTGGAAGAGTGAGCAAAATCACACCACAGACTAAATCAAGAGAGACCTCTGCTCTGCTTTGTACAGTCTACAGCTGTTGCGACACCCACAGACTTATTTGAAACGTAAAACATGAGCTGAAAATGAGCTGTTGGAATATTTTTTGTTGTTGTTTTCTTTCTTTTTACCATTTGAATGTGTGCAGAAGATATACTCTGTGTATTGAATGGTTTCCTAAGAAGAAAATTACAGAGGCAGGAAAAGTACCCTGGGATTTATGCAGACAGTGCATTTTCAGTTTCAGGAAGGAAACTTTGGCAAGTTGTTATACGCGTTCACAAAATGGTCTCTGAAAACATGTGAGTGGGGAGCGCCATGATATTTGTGGGATGCACTGAAAGGCAGCCAACATGGCAAGTATCCTGGGTGCTTCTCTGACAATAATGAGCTTTATCAAACTTTGGCTAGTGATGTCAAAATATTTTCAGCTTGTAGTCACGAAATGGGCAACAAGCATACAAGCTCACTGCTTCGTGCTGACATATGTTAAGTCTCAAGAGATTAAGTCCTCATCTGCTTCCAAACTGTGTAAAAAACATACCTTTTCTTCCTGCCCATGCTTTTGAAGTGCAGCAGCCCAGACACAAGTTACAGTTTCACAGGACTTCTACTCTCAGATATTTCTCCTTACATAACAGCTTCAGTGTAGACCTGTAGAGGAAATCATAGGCAGTTTTCAGCGTGTGTAGCAAAACCAAGCCTTCGTTGAACATGGATTTGTTGACATGAGCAAAAATGCTTTGACAGGCTGATAACTGAGAAGTTCAGAGTGTTGTAACAGGGACAGCACAGAGCCTGTAACTAAAGCAGTTTGTGCTTCCCTGAAATAAGCTGGGCAGAAAAATACCAGATTTGACCTAAACTTTCCAAGACTGTCTTTGGACCTGGTACAATCGATTACAATGTGAATTATTCACTGATGGACAAAGTTGAAATAAAGCACAAACCTCTTGCTGGTACTGATTTAAAGAAGGAGCAGCGCAACACTTCTGATAGCCTACTGCAGTCCTAGTGACATTCCTAGCATTGTCAGGTATTTTGTGAATGTGGCTTTTCAACTTCAGAACTGAGACAATCTATAAATTGAACAAGCTGGATCTACCAGTGATCCTACAGCACTTCTGCCTGCTTTAAGTAAATAAAAAACAAAACAACATCCTGAATCACTCAACCCTCAATCACTTCTCTAATGAGCTATAACGTATTAAATCATAGGTATGAGTCAACAGTATCATACTGCTGGGAAAAAAATGGAAGACCATTCCAGGAAAAATAAACGAATAAACAGCAGTATCATCTGTAAAGCACATGGCACACCACCGGCATTCAGCTCAGTGATGGGAAGCATGTGACTTGGCTGCAGGCACCAGAAATTCAGGAGGATATGATACAGACAGGGTAGAAAAGAACAGAAATAAGGATGTCGAGGAGTCGTGGAAAGGTGGCTTATTAGAAAAGGCTGAAGGACAAGGGCTGTTCACTCTGGGACATGAAAAGAAACCCTCAAGGTATTTTACAGAGGTTTGCAGATGTGTGGAGCAGTTAAGAAGAAAGGAGTAGTTTGTTTTACACACTTTGGCCCCTTAAACAACATTAAGCTCAATGAAGACCGACCAGTGCCAGAGACACAAGTGAGCCAGCACCCCTGCTGTGACTTTTACTGTACCAGGAATTATGAATTTCTACAATATTATTTAGCTACTTTCCTCTCAATCTGATAGTCATAAAAAATCCTCTCAATCTGATAGTCATACATTCCTCGTATTCATGTAAGTATTTGCTCGGAAGTTGCCTTCCCTCATGGCCAAAGCAAGAGAGTGCTCAGTACTTCCTCTTCTGGTGCCCACCTGGCCCTCAGCTTCAAGCTGCTTCACTCTGATCTTCCTCTTTTCTGTTTGCTGTTATGAGTTCATTAGTGGTTTGCATATCTTTGTCTCAGTCTGCTCCTCCAGCTGTTGGGAAATACACTGGGTCCCCATCCTTGACCCAGAAATGTTCTCTGCTCAGCACAGCTAAAATAAGAGAGACTTGATTGTTTCCATGGACTAATCAGCTCTCACGTTAGAATCATACAATCATTAAGGTTGGAAAGAGCACTAAAATAATCCAGTCAAACTGTGAACCCCCTGTGAAAGCTCTAAATCACGTCTCTCATTGCCACATCCACCCTTTTCTTGAATACCTTTAGGAACTGTGAATGACTCCACCATCTCTCTGAGCAGCCTGTTCCAGTGCATCACCTCCCTTTCTGAAAAAAAATTCTTCCTGATATCCAACCTGAATCTCCTCTGGTGCAGCTTAAAGCCATTGCCTCTCATCCTATCACTGACACTTGCTCTGGAAACACAGGTGAAATACACTGTATAGGAATGTAAAGTACCTAGAGTTTACATAAACATGGAGCAGCAAAATGCAAAATACAAGGCATCCAGTTCGTGTTCTAGTGGGAAAAACAATAACACTGTTAGAGATAAAAGCAAAGGAACAAAGAGAAAGAAAAGAAATAAAGGAATTTGTGAAAGTATCTAGGACATTTCTCTAAGGTTAGACCTACAGCTGTCCAGACCAACACAGGCACCCACGAGTTGGACACAACCACATTCCCATTAGTAGAACACACACAGGAGTCTGCACACACACTGTGTGTCTGCTAGCACAGCAGGAGCTTAATCTGGAGGGCAAGTGAAAAACAAGTGAATTACACTTTTTAAAAGTACTAAGTCAATCACCCTGGAGAGTGGAGGTTCAGATCTATAGAGATCATTGTAAATCCTTTCAGATGAAGTAAATTTGTTCTAACCTACATAAAATTAAACTGTGAAATAATCTAGGAGAAATTACAAATCCGTGCACGGTTTATTCTTGGTGTCCTCAATTCAGCATCTACTCTGAGGCTCCACGTCCTGGCAGACATTCGTGCAGTCCCCGCCACTTCCAGTTCTTTCCCCACCACCACAGCCCTTTTAAAGAGTGAGGCACAGAATGCTCCCATACACAGAAACAGCACAGATGTTGGAGCTAAATGGAAACAAGTGGTTCAGAAAGGTCCTGGCACTCCTCCTTCTGTTACCCAAATGCAGTCCTTGTGCATGTTTACGGTACAACTGAACCATCTTAAACAGCTTAACATGTATTCCTGCTATGTGGCATGGTTCAGTGTTGGCTGTGCAGGGACAAATAACTCCTAAGGAGATTATCTTGAGCAGACAAACATAGATGACAGCCAAAAATTAAAGAAATTCTGTCTTTCATTTCTACTTAACATTTTGATTGATTTATTGTAAAATACATTTCCTTTTTCTTCAATCAACATCCCTATCAACAACACTTAAATAAATATATGTACAATTCACAGAATTGTAGCATCATAAAGCTTGGAAAGGACCGCTAAGATCACCCAGTCCTACTGTCAACCCATCTCCACCATGCCCACTAAGCCATGTCCCTCAGTGCTGCATCTCTGCATTTCTTGAACACCTCCAGGGACAGTGACTCCACCATCTCCCTGGGAAGCTTGTGCCACTGCATCACCACTGTTTCTGAGAAGAAATTTTTCCTAATACCCGACTCCTGGCATAAGCTCAAGGTCATTCCCTCTTGTCCTCTCACTGTTACCTAGGAGGCCAATTCCACCTCACCACAACCTCCTTTCCGGCAGTTGCGGAGCCATAAGGTCTTCCCCGAGCCTTCTCTTCCCCAGACTCCCAGCTCCCTTAGCCACTCCCCATAAGACTTGTGCTCCAGATCTTTCACAATTTCCTTGCCCTTCTCTGGATGTGCTCCAGGGCCTGAATGTCTTTCTCACAGTGAGGAGTAATTCTTGCTGTAGTAAAACAGTTTTAAATGATTCAAAAAACTATTGGCTGGCACACAAAGCCTCACGTTGGCTGCAGTTTCAACCAACCATCTGAGGCTGTCTGTGCAGTAAGCATATGTGCGTTCCAGCAGGTCCCATGGATATTCCCCTCAATAATGAGAAAGGGCTCCGAGGAAATGCTCACCCATGAGCAAATGTGTCCCAACTGATCTGCTCCTGACACCAGTTCTAGCAAGCTGCTTCTCAAGGGTGTTTTTTTTTTTTTTGCATGATGCAGAAGAAGCATGCCAAGAAAATATCCTTAACCGAGCAAAAGCTTCCTACAGATTAGGAACAGCAGGACAGGAGGGACTCAAAGAGAACTACACCCGTGGGAGGTTGCTCTCATCCTATGGTAGTTGAAAAGACATGGAGTAGCAGCCTGAGCAAGCTGTTCAGCTAAAAAGACAGCTAATACCTTTGGTTTCACACTCACTGGTATTTTGAACATCTATAATAATACAAAAAAACCTCCCAACTTTCTAGCTGTAATAAGCCAAGAGAATCATTGCCAGTTGTTAAAGTTTTCCTCTGATCATAATGCATTTATTTTTCCTGAGTTTTCTCACCATGATTTTTTTTCAGAAAGAGACTGTCTTTCTTTTTGCAAACCCAAATCATAAGTCTTTCATAAACTGTCCCCCAGAAAGCTATTGGCAGCAACTGAAAGGATTTTATTCTTGTGTAAAGGCAGAGCAGTGTTATTTCTAAAGGAGTATTTTTTAAAATTTATTTTTAGAGGTAACATTTTTGCATTTAAATGTCCTTCTACCAAGTTAAAATGATTCCAAGCACCTCCACCCACCTGAGTATTCCATTTTAAATTTGGGGAAAACAGAGAAAGGGAGCAGGTAAGGAGAGAAACAATTGAAAAAAGAGAAATCTTGTTCAGAATCTTGTGTAGATAAACAAATAATGGAAAAATATTTCAAATTTTCAGTGTGCAAGTACCTCAAGTTCCCAGCAAATCTGTCAATGACAGAATGGACAAGGAGCTGAGAACTTTCTTGGAGTCCATTCATAATCCTATGTTTGCATTTGGCAAACTGTCTCACTGTTACATCTCTTCCCCTTTAACATGAATATTATTCTTGTATTACACAAAAAGTATTGGTTTTTAACTGCTAATCTTCCAGCATTTTCTGTATCATCGGAACAGACATAAAAGTTTTCCAAAACTTGCAGAAAGTTGTTCAGGTATTTTCCTGAAATGAAAACATTTTATGCAGTCTGAGTTTCTTCTGTATTTTAAATGACTCGCACTACTTTTAATAGCATGAATTTAATAGTTTTCATTATCTAGAGCCCCCTATTTTAAACAAAAAACATAGGTGATAACATTCTTGTATTCATACCAGGCTGCTCATGGAGGTGACAGTCTTTGTCCTTGGAGGTTTTCAAGAAAGTGGTGGATGAGGCATGAAGGAACAAGCTCTAGAGCTGTCATAGCCGTGGCCTGAGAGTAGAACTAGACAATCGTCTTTCCAATTTTAATGATTCTATGATAACAACATATATTACTTTTCCTCTGTGTATTTTCATTTTATACACCAACTATGTGTTGATTCTTGAAGGGTATCCACAATTTCTCGTAAGGGGGGCACATTATTCAAGTTTATTCTAACTGATGCAGTTGTGACTTTTTAACACAATGGAGCTATTCATACTAGGGAACCACACTCTATGCTGGATCTCAAATAAATACACCAACTCAGCTAATGTGAATGCTAGTATTTCGCTGAAACTTTTTATTAGAATTTCATCTGGGCAAATCCTTCATCACAGCTTCATCAGCCTTCTGGGGAGAGCAGAGATTCCTGTGGGATGTTTAAACCCGCCCAGGTAAGTCAAAATCCATCTCTTCCCAAAGAGAAGAGATGGATTCATCTGCAAAATTTTTCACTACCTATCTTTCTACATGTCTTTCCCCACTAATGACAACTTCAGCTGAAATGAAAAACACAGACCATGATAGTCTTGTCTTGGAACCTTTAGAAATAAAAGCAGCTTTCAAAATGCAAAGAAGCAAAAAGTAGGTTTCAGTGGAACTTCTAATAGGCTGTGAATTACACTTGCGCTTAATTAAATTACTGTACTGAATCCGTTTCTGAATTAAAGCGAGATACTCTTCTGTGTTTATTTTGTTTGGATAATTAAAGACAGTAACAAAACAGGTCTTTAGAGCTAAGGTAATCTGAAGTTTTAGCAATTAAATTTTTGTGTGTTTAAGCACCCAGCACCAGCAAACGCAGGTATAGGTGAATGTTGTTCTTCAGCTGCTCCCCTCTACTATGAAAACAAAAGCAGAAAATTATTGAGAACCTATCTTACTCATCCGGAATAATCTGGGAATACTTTCTTTCAGGCCATTAAATGGTCTGAAATGTTGTTCCCCCTGGTACTCGTTTTCTGGGCCCTCTGAAGGCAACAAGCAGGAGTATAAGCTATTTGCTTATTTAACTCAAGAAATAGGAAGATACGTTGAAGAGGTTGCTTTTTCTTGAGAGAGGGATAACATTTTATATGGACTTTTATCAAACCCAGTTCTCATCTCTTAGGCTCTTCCTTACCGTCTCAGTCAGTTTTGAAGCTTTTCTATACCAAGTTTTTTCTAATGTGCCTTTGCTAATACCTATATTTATCATCCACTACGTCTATCTATTTTTCCGACCCTCCTCTGCACAACAGCACCTTGCACGTTATTTCTGGTTTCATGGGAGGAACCCCATGAAGACTGGTTTTAATGAAGCAGCCTCTGCTCTCCCACAGGACACACAGAGGAATCATAAACCATTTAAAGGAAATGTTGCAGCAGCAAATCCTGAAAGGAAAACATACCTGGCTGGTTGAAAGGCTTCATAAAGTTTCCTGCATGATGTTATCAGGGAGTTCATCCATCCCCTGGAGGAACTGTTTCTTGTGCTACCACAGTCATACAGCCTTCTTGTGAGTACCAGTTGAAGTGGCAGTAAATAAACTATAGAAACAGAAAAATACAGGGCTCTTTCAAACCAGCATCCCCTCAAGATCAGGGAGGAGAATAATCACCACAGAGGAATCGTTGTTTATTGTCCCTTAGCCTTACAAAAATTTATTGGAAAAACACAGACTTTGAAGGGATGGTTGAGAGGAAAAAAACTTGGTTCCAAAGACTGCTTTCTGTGGCTTGATATTTCTAGTACTTTCTGGTCAAATTTCTTACTAGTGTCCCCTAGTTTTCTAAAACTCTGGAGTGACCCAACACCTCCTGATTATTGCACATACAGTGCACAGTCTCAGGATTATCATTCTCTACAGGTGCATTAATTTCCTTCCTTTTCCCATATATAGACAAAGGCACTCCCTTTTCCCCAAGTGAGGAGTGCTGATTAGCAATGAGCAATTATAAAATGAGATTCAATTTATCTATAGGAGAATACAGTGTTTTTAAGAGAGTGATATTTCATCCAGATTTTTTCACTTCAATAACTCTTCAGAACTGCTTGGGTGTTAACCCAGGACAAGCAGTAGTCATTACGTTACCGTGGAATCTATGTTTACTACTTTATCAAAAAAAATGCTTGTTTTTGCATCCACGGTGATGAACATACTTTCCACATTTATCATTTTATTGGTAGCAATTTTAAAATGTGCATTTATCCAGTTATCAATTTTCCTCACATCATAACTTTTGGAAGTCTTGGTCTCTGTTTTCAACATCAGCTATAGAGACATTCAGAGTAGATCAAGGGCAGAAGGTGCAGAAATGAGTGCCTATAACATACTGTTCTTTCTGAATGTTTTTCTAGAAATAACATGCCTGTTCTAATATACTGGGAAAATACTACGCTGACTAATAAGCCTTGCTGTTACAAGGCTATATGAGCTTATTACTTTAAAAAACCTCTTCAAACACGTTTTATATTTGCTGTCCACTTTAAGAGTGTGAATTACCTGAGATCAGATAGAAGTAGATCAGATGGTCAAGATTTGTTGTTTTGTCCCACAGCTACTGGAGAAAACACATTTTTGTCAAAGAAACCATGCTGCCTGAGGTCAGTATCAGAGAAATATATTCAGGACTCTTTACCTGAACCCAAGACTACCAAGCTTGACTATGCATTAGGAGGCACTGTAAATTATTCAAATTAATATGGGTCACAAATCTGCCAAAACCTTACTAAATTCTATTTATATGCATTATAAAATCTTTCCAATGTCTTGTGGAAAAAATTACTTTTCCTGTTAAAAACTTATTTGTAACATGGAAATGTTTTGTGAATCATATTTGTCAGCTACACGAAAGGCCACCAATTATATTACTCTCACGAAAAAAATTATGCCTTTTAGTGTTGGTATCCTAACAAAACTCATACAAGAATAAATCACTCCACCTAGAGAAAAAAAACAAACATTTGCAAATCGGATTGAAGCTCTTTTGCAATAAGATGCCTTTATGTCATTCCATTGCACATGAAAACAAAACACTGCTTTTACCAATTTAGTAGTCAGTTCTGTTCAGTAGGTCCACAATAGAACACAAAGCTGCATTTTTCTATTTCTTTCCCTAGAATATGTATCTATAGTGGTAGCATGATTAGAAGGTCTAAAAGTCTTTTACTAAAAGAGTCAGCATGGCTCTTTTAGATGGCCAGTGTTGTTTCTGTTTGCACTACATAAATATTGCCCGTGAGTAGGGGCCCAAAACTTGAAAGAATCTCTTAAACTGCTGATTGTAGTCTTCTGCTACCACAGGTAGACAATCTGCTTTTCACTAATATCAAAAAAAAAAAAAAAAGCAAATGAATATATAGAAAACAAATAGGAGCATAGGATCTTTTGCTGTAGCACCTATCTTACCATTTTTTGGACAGAACCTTCTCATTTTAGCCAAGGGCTAAAACTGTTAGTTTCTATATGGTTGGTTAGGCATGTTATCTACCATCCTACCTATTTCAGAAGATTCTCCTTTCATTCTCCTCATCTTCCCTGTTCACTTCTCAGAATACGCTCTAGCTTGAATGAACCTTTCTTGCAAGTCGACAAGAAAAATGGCGCAGCCATCCAAGCATACACTTCCCAAAGTCTGCTATGTTGTATGCAAGAGGGTGTTTCTGCATAACACACACCAGTATCACTCAAACATTTCACCTGCTGCAAGGAAGTCACCTTCTTCTTCTTGTACTCCAAGAAGAGGATGTTCTATTATTTTTAGACCAAACCTCACAACATTAAGTCATTATTTCACCAGTGCAAGGGCAATTCCCAGGATGCTCTGCTATTCAAAATGATCCCAGTTGCAGTATACAATTGTGGCTGGTAAAATACAAGAAAATCTTATTTCAATGACTATCTTTTTCACAACCTTCCTGTAAAATTTGCTAATTCTTGCTACAAGGATTACCAATCTACTGCAGTTAATGAGAGAGAATTCAACTACCTCAGTATGGGACTTTCTGTGAGTTGTTTCATATATTGTGAGTCTGATTCTAGGTGCTTGATTTGAAGTACCTGAAATCTTATTTTTCCATGTTAATAAGCACCACTACTCATAGGTGGCTGCTGGAAAGTAGCAGCAAACATCCTAGTGAGAGGATGAGTGCCTGGATCACGAGCTGCCACCCTGGCTAGCAGCACTGACATCTGCACTGTGCAAATCTCTGTTTACTGTATTTCAAACTTACAAAGACAAGCTCACTTTTGGCTTGAGACCAAACCCAACCATTTAGACTAAAAGCTGAATTTTTTTCAAGAAATGAGATTCACTGTTCTTTTGTTATCATCAATCATTTATTTTTTGCCAACCTTTTTCCCTATTTCAACCTCCATTAAGAGTAGCTAGTAGAGGTGGAGTGCGACTTACCCACCGAGACCACTGAGACTCTTCCCTCAGTATGTTCTTCAGTGTTTTAGAGCTTGTCATATATTAGAGAATTAATAAACTCTCATCTTCCCCTATTTCCTTTGTAAAATTACTACACTGGCTAATACAGTTTTGAGGCTTCTATAAACTTACAAATGCTGCAGTAATTTCAAGTGTTTGTGTGGTTTGCTCAGCTGTTTCAACATTTCTCACCTCAGCCATCTTTTCTCCCTGTGAACTCACATCCCAGAATAGCTCTGCATCAGTGAAAAACAACCATGTGATTGAAAGCATTTATACCTTTCATAATTAATGAAAAGGCTTGGGAACTTCTGTTCATCTTAAGACTAGAGGAAACTATGTTACTGTTGTCACAGGCTGAGAGCTGGGGGAGTTTGGTGTATAATGTGCTGTATGTAAATTTACCACAGAATCATAGAATCATTAAGGTCGAAAAAAACTTCCAAGATCATCTGGTCCAACCATCCACCTACCACCAATATTTGCCCACTAACTCCTGTCCCTCAGTGCCATCTCTCCATGTTTCATGAACATCTCCAGGGAGGGTGACTCCATCACCTCCCTGAGCAGCCTGTGCCAATGCATCACCACTTCAACTCCCAGGGATTTACTCTTGCCAGTTGTACAACAGAAGTAACACCTATCTTGAGGTGTCTTCAGACTTCCCAGCAGAAATGCCACCTAAAGGCACACCGCCGTTACTCACTGCAACCTGCCAAATATCACAGTCACCTGGTACTATTCACAGCACAAATGTTCTTTCTGGTAGGGAGCACGTGTCCCTTAACATGAGTGTGGAGGAGCTATGTGGGCAACCTATCTCAGCGCTGTGCTGCCCTGAGAATTGTGGCATGATTGTCGCTTTTCTCCAAGAAACCTGCTTTGGGATAGCAGGACTCTAACAGTTAGACCTGAAGAAAAAGACTTTTTCCCATCAGTTCTGAGTAACTTGGTGCTATAGGGTAAACAAATATCAGCAAAGGAAATGTGATATTCAGGTTATTTCTCAACACCACACTTCTGTTTCATGACACAAAATATTTTTAAAAGTGTCTCTTTGAGGAAGATCCTATCATCTAAGTATTATTTAATTTGGCATTCGATATTTTCTAAATTAATATCCACAAACTATTTTACTGATAGATAACTAATTAAATCTACTGACAATCCTATCTTATTTCCACCTGCAAAAAAGGTAAAATTCATCAAGTATTTTCAAGAACACTGCAGATGAGCTCTGCAACAATTTCAGCAGGGACCTGCAGAATAGTAAAAAACAAACAAACAAAAAAACAAGCAAACAAACAACAAAGAAAAAAAAACACAAATAAACAAAACATAAAACCAAACCAAGTCTTAATAAATATTTCTAACAAAACAGCAAATTAGTCCTTGTAATAGCCTGAATCATTCATCCTTCTTCATCTGAAAATATCTCAGAAAATTGCCTGAAATTATGGCTGCTAGAAGTGAGCTACAAGTGAGTGCTTTCAAGCATCATCCTGGGATCTTTCAGATAGAATTTTGTCCATGAGATGACAATGCATCCCTTGAAAAATTAGTTCAATACATTCAGATTTCTCAGAAAGATACATTTTTAATTTCATGAATATTTCCTTAACCAGTGTGAACCTTTTACCTAGCACTATGCATTTCTGAAATACTGGACTGGTTTCAGTACTACACATGGTGGAGAAAAGTGCATCTAAATTGATGCAAGTCCAAAAAAAAAAAAGAAATTTATTCTCACTGACACATGGTATATCTGAATGCTAGAAAACACATCAATTAACAGCATGTGTAGAGACTTAAGCTTGAAAGTATCTGGAATGCCAACTAAACATGTCCAGCTCTACTACTTACCTAATATCTAATGCAGACATATATTGTCCAATATTTCCCCTGGCATTTTGTCTCCAGGCAAAACTTTCTTCCTTCTTCTTTTAAATCAGAATTTAAAATAAATAAATAAATAAAATAATAAGAACACCCTCAAATCCACAATCACTATTATTACTTCTTCCTATAATAAAAATAATAAGAAGAAATTCCATTAACTCCTTCAGTGGTTCTCACCATCATGTATACTTCAACTTGTGGAAGACACTGCAGACAGCTATCAGAAGTATGCCTCTGTAGTGCATCCAACCTTTCCATCCATGTGAGTTGGCTACAACAGGGACATTTGTCATATGGATTCTAAAAAGGAGAGGAAAAAATGAATTTTGACAACTAAACAATTATTTCTTCAATATGAAAGATTTTACATAGTATTTTAAGCAATTCTAACCATTATAACCCCATTATCCATGCTTTGTACAGCTGTATTCCCATTTACACACTGCACTCCTAATGTAATTTCTGAGTAATTGTGCACAGTGCATTGAATCATAGAAAGATTTATACTATCTCAAGAGAAACCAGAGTATTGAATCTAACCATGGCTCTACCTTCCTGTAGCTGGAATATGGCAGCAACAACATGGCATGCAAGCTTTTCAGAGATCTGGGGAAGTTCTGGAAAGCAGCAGTCTCTTATGATACTGGATGGGATCAGCTTGCATCATTACACAGTAGAGAAGTGTAGCAGAAATGACTTTCTTTTAAAGGATTACTGCTGGATATGGAGAGGTCTATTATTTTTGGCAGGTTTCAGGTGGGCTGTGCATAGGGAAAAGGCACCCTCCTTCTACCCAGCCTTGGGAGACAGGTCAGAATGCGTGTCTTCATGAAGAAGCACAGATGTGTCCTGTAGGAACTTGGAGACCGAGAGAAAAAAGAAACATTTTCCTCCGCCAATATATTGGCATAAATATAACTATAATGCAATCTACTATCCTAGATATAAAATGAAATCATTTAAAAAGGACTGAATCCTCTGTGGATTTTCTCAGTGTATCAGCATGAAGCTATTTAGGCCAGATGTTCTAATAATTCTGATGCATTAGGAGATGCACAGCACTGTGGCCAAGTGTTAGCACACTGAACTATAATGCAAAACATGTAAAGACACTACTTCCAAAGTTATTAGAAGTTTTCATCCTAACCACTTTGCTCCCTTAGTAGCTATGTTTTCTTTACAATATGCACTTATGCTTTAGAGCACATAGAACAGCTAACAACCCCTCCCATCCCATCAAAATCTCTGCATTCCCTGGAAGAATATAGAGGGGCCAACTTAGGACTGACATAGGAGCCTTGCAGGAATGGAAATCTCATATCTGAACAACAATAGCATACTCAAGGCGGACAAGAGGCCAACGAGCCACAGCTGGGTACCACATGAGCAGGTGAAAAAGCGATGTTGAGATTTTTGAGAACACCAAGACAGATTGTTTCACTCCTTAATAATCAAGTGCATCTGTAATGGATTTAAGTATTTGCAGAGGTAGTTTTAAAGATATTTAAGCAGGTGCAATTTCTATGTTGGAACGGTCTAATAAAGAGAAGTAACAGTAAAGAAAATATCATAGAATCATAGGAAGGCTTAGCTTGGATGAGACCTCAAAGATTACTGAGTCGCAACTCTCTGCCAAGGACAGGGCTGCCAACCACTAGATCAGGGGTCCCAGGGCCTCATCTAACGTGGCCTTGAGCTTCTTCAGGGATGGGGCATCCACAGCCTCTCTTCGTCGCACAAAAAAAAGGCAAGAGCATGTCCTTAGGGATGCAAGAAACAGAGCATGAAGAAATAGATAGGCACTATATAGAAGGATAATGTGGGGGGATACCTTGCCCCGAGAGCCCATTCAGAAAAATCCCTGTCACTATAAATTAATTACTCAGGAGCTGAATATATTTCAGAGCTCATTTCTGCATTGTCTACTTGCCAGGGTGTTAGCTGAGAGGTCTGTGACTCTTCAAGACCTTGTCAGCCTTAGAGGACAAAATGTGATCCAAAATCAACATTAAAAAATTACTGGGGTTTAGAACTTGCCATCACAACTCTTAATGCATTTTTTTCCTAGAACACACCTTACACTTCAGATAGGAAACCAGAACTGAGAGTTGCAGCAACTTCCACTGCTTCAAGTGGGGTTTAATCTATTTTCTTTCTTTCTTTTTTTTTTTTTTTCCCTCCTTAGTAAAATATGCTGAAGTTTCAGTTACATCCGAGCTTTCTCATGCTTTTTAAAAGGTAAGCAAATGTTTCTGGATTTACAAATCAGGGCCATATACAGTGCACTGATGCAATCTGCCATAAGGTATCACTTCAACTGTTGATACTCTGATTATCCTCTATGGTAAATGGAGGGCTTGTTTCACTTCCACAAGACAAATGTCTGGTCATCAAATTTCCTGCATGCCACTTGCCAACTATTCTGTTCCTTTTTTTCCCTCATGACTACACAAAAATTTGTCATTAAACTGTATTAGGCATAATTACTTCAATTCACATTTCCACCTGCTACTTTTACTCAGACATAATATGGGGGTTTAAATTATTCAGATGAGAAATCTGTATTTAAAAAAAAAGAAAAAGAAAAAAAAAGAGTTTGTAAAGATAAAGCAGGTGGCAGAATTAGTCCTCCAGTGTTACAGAGCTAATCCCAAACCTTGCATTATTCACAGATAATTTAAACCACTCTATCCTTTTTAAGTTGGATACAGTCCTGGATAGCTGTTGGACAAAAGCTGATGACATCTGTAACTCCTAGATAGTTCTCCTCTCTTTAACAACCAAAAAAGCAAGCATTTAGCATGCTCTAGATTGTTCTCTATTGTTTCTAAATTGCTGCTCTACAATTTTAAGTCTGGTTCTTGCATCATCCATTTCATCCTTATCTACTTGGCAGCTCAAAGGTTAAATGAAGCAACGATCTTACAACATTCTTTAAATCACAGTAACATAGGTGGTAATGAAAAACCTTAGTCTTGAACTCTCAAACTATGAAAATATTATCAAATAGCTATTACTGTCATGCTTACTCATGAATCACAGACTTGCAGACAATTAACGACTCGTGTATTGTAACAACTCTGAAATGCTTTTGAAAGCTTTGACAAAAAGAATGAGAAAGATTAATAATAAAAATGCATATTTGCCAGGGGTTACTCATTTCCTTCCTTATCACCTCTTGTCTTGTATGAGCTCTAATACAGAAGTACCTAAATGACTCCTTAAGAAACAGAAAGCTCCACTGGGAAGCATGCCAAAAATCATGGCCAGAGGCAGGCTTCTGTTGAGAATCCCATATTAATGTGCAGAAAAAAACCAGCTCCACCTGCAAAGGCTACCTAATCTCAGTTCTTAAAATCCTGTTCATGCTACTTCAATGGCAGTAGTTCTTGCAACTTGACCAAAATGTCCTCTGAGGAAAGAGGTTGTTGTCAGAGGATAAACGATTCAAAGCCACTACCCAAGCACCTGAGTGCTTCATGCAGATATTCCATGCATGTTTGTTACTCAACAAAAGCATTCCATCTCCATGTCAAGTAAAATCCTTAATAGTGAAATAATAGCTTTAAAATTGTAACTGTTAGTCGCTGAGATTCTGCAAATGCTGAAGTTCCTTTCTCTATGGAGCTATTAACTAGGCATTCTGTCTCTACACAAAGAATAGATAGTAAGGACCTTGTTAGAAACCATCGCTTGCATTATCCAATTCCTACACTTCATTTTGCAGAATTGTTCTTTTTCTATATCATTTTCACTGATGTTTAGCTATCTCCCAAATGGCTCAGAGAATCCACTTTGCTTAAGTAACTTCAGTTTCTTCCAGAATTCAATTGTTACAGAAAATAATAATAATAATAATCATCATCATCATCATCCTGATATTCTCTTCTCTTTTTTGGCTTTGTATGTGAAACATGGGGACTTGAGTACTGTATTTATGACTACACACAGTGAGAGAAGCATAGCAAAATGCCTGCAGAGGAGAAACAACAGCTCCAATGGCCAAGTGGGGAGAAGGTAACAGAATAATATTTCAAGAATAAATCACCCAAAACCAAGTGAAATAAATCAATCACCACAGCTAATATACTGTTCTGTCCATTCCTTGTGCAAAGATCTCTTTTTTTGTATATACATGTTACAAAAATATAATTCAAACATGTTTACAACTGATGCCAACATTATTAGCAGGCTTCAAAGCTCATGTGTTTGTTGTTTGTTTTTTGTTTTTTTAATCAGCAAGACTATGACTGGTTAGTGCAGAGCCAACTATATATGTTTTTAGTAGCTCTTAGGTTACTGCAGTGCTTCTTGAAATAAAATGTATCTCTACTTGTTTTCAAGTGCTGGAATTCACTGCTGAATTGATGCAAAATTCATTCTACCAGACTTCTTGCTTTGTTCATAAAAATAATTTAAAAAAAAAAAAAAAAAAAGGATCTCATTAAGTTTTGTATAAATAAGTTTTGTATAAAAAAGCAATGCACATGAAGGGAATGCCATTTATCATTGCAAAAAAAAACAAAAACAACAAAAAAAAAACCCCAAAAAAACAACGAAACAAAACAAAACAAAACCTTGTGCAGTGATGGGAGTAACTGCAGGAACCCAGTTTCAGTGTATTTGTAGTGGTTTAGGTGTAGCTGATCCTGCCCTGAGTGGGGTTACCTCTGTTCCTATTTTAAGGATACCTACCTTTTTTTCAGCATTAGACAGGTGAAGATGAGTGCTCACCGCATAAATGTGGATATCTTCCCACAAACTATTGATCTGTTTTGGCCACTCTTGGGACTTGAACAGTGTCATTTTTGTATTCAGCAAGGCAATGTTAGCATTCATTATAAGCGTTTACACTGCCAGCAGCTATTTTTGAGAGACTTCAAGATCAATTTTTGATGGATTAGCTGCAATATTAGATCTGATGTAGAACAGTTAGAGTTCCAAAATATTATTCCACTGTGGTTCCACAATACATCATAGCAATACACTGTTGCAATTATTTCTCCCAAATTCTGTTAGGGGTGTGGGTTATGAAATTTTTCTAAAAGAAATGGGAATATAAGTCAGAGACATAGTATTTAGCCAGTTTCTTTTCTCTCAGAAACATCAACAGAGAGGGTTGACTTGACATAGCAGCCTCTCCTCACCGCAAATCCATGCTTACCATATTGTGAAAGACAGACTTGGCAGCCAAACACCACGTTATGACATGTCTTCATTTCCTCTTCCTTGCCCCTGCCCACTTAAGGATTTGGCAGATCCAGTCGGAGATTGCTCACCTGCAATATGAAATCCAGGACTGCCTTCCTGACTGCTCTGAGGACAGTTGTTTACATTCCATTCCCACCACTAATTTCTTCTTAGTATCCTTACTTTATCCTAGGAATGGCATCACTACTTTTCCTGGCTTTCCAAGCTGCCTGTCTTGACCCTTGCTCCCCCACTCCCAATTATTTCGTGAGCACAAGCAGCCATCCTTGTTCAGCATTTGATCAAACCCATCTACCAGATGCTCATCTGCTGTCACATACAATTCATTCCATTTCAACATCTGACACAGTTTTTCACAACTATTGATCTACAAGCTCTGCACTGCCCCATGCTTTCCTTCCCATCCCCGAGTCTCTCTCCATCCATCTGTTTGTCACTGTGCCATGACATGTAATCATGACATGTGTCTTTCCCCACATAGTTCATGCAAGACACACAAACCTCCTTAAGGGACTCATCTCTGCCTTATGCCAAGCAATAACTAAAATGGGCTTGTCATCTGCATCTCTTACTCCTCCTAAGATGATCTCTCTCTTCCTCACTGTGTCCTGAGTGGACACACCTCAGAGCCAACACCAGCAGAAGGATGACTCCACTGACCCTCACTAAGGCTGCTGCACTGTGCAGAACCAGTCATACGAACAACTGTATTTCCCCAAACGCAAATACATTTTGAAGATCAAAACTTACACTTTGAAATTTGGCCCAGCAAAATATTGCCTTTTCATAATATTCCTTCAGTTCTTATGGGTTTTTCAAGGGCACCACATCTTCTGTGCACACACAAGCTCTACAGGACGATGATTAATATGACCACATCAGATCTGCCAAGATCTGCTAGTACCTGCACGAAAGAACCGCGTTACAGAATCACAGAGTCATTTGAGTTTGAAGGGACCATTCAAGTTCATGTAGTCCAACTGCCAAACAAAAGAAATTAAAAGCAAAAACTCTGTCTCATGTGACACTTTCTTTCAAAATACAGTACAAACCATACATCAGCATAGCACATCAGCTACAACTTAGTTTGATTCCCTGGTTTATTCTCCCTGAAAGAGAGAAGACAAGAAAAAACAAAGATCTGCTTCTACAAAGATAACAAAGATCTACAAAGATAACTTCAAATTATTCTGGCCTTTAATGAAATAAAGGCTACATTTAAAAACAAATAGGAAAAGAGGCAACAATCTGGATGTAGTAAAATTTTACTCCCACTAAAAACAATGGGACATAAGCCCAGTAGACTTCATGATGTGTAACTGCTATCACTATGGATGCCATTTAGTTAGGTGCCATTCCCCTAGGAGAAAAGTACTAAAGCCACATACACTGCACAGCTTTCCAATGCAACAAATGGGCACTACAGGCAACAAATGGATGCATACAACAAAGGGAAAATTTCAAAACAAATACAAACCATGCTTATTTGAAGTTCAACATTCAATACAATTCTGCATGGTACTCATTAGGCAGGAGTAATCTCTGTGGTACTTTCTACAAGGAAAAAAATGAAGTATCTTATGACCATAGAATTATTAAGCTTGGAAAAGACCACTAAGATTATCTATTCCAACCTCCAACCCATCACTACCATGTCTACTAAACTACATCCCTCAGTACAAAGCAATGTTGAAACTGTCATCTGCTACATGCATTCCTTTGTTCCTGAACATCATTGCCTTAACTAGAAAGTATTTTCCTCTCCAAAGGTCACCTTCATGTTGCTTTCAGTGCTACCAAAAGTATACATGCTGTTGTCCTGACTGAACAAAATTCACCAATATTGGAATGTGCATGCTATCAGAGAGCTTATTTAATCACACAAAATGAAATAAGAATACAATTGCAACATTGCTTACATCAGGACACAAAATTATCCAGTAAAGGCAAAAGAATAGGTTTTCCAGCTCATTGTCCTCATGAATGTGGTGAAATAATGCTCTGGGATCATGTGTGGGATCACATTTGCTGGCAGAGTATGGCAGACCTAAACCAACAATAAATGAGATATTTATTTATTCCTTTTTCTTCTCTCTAAGCTGCCTGAAATAACAACATTGGTGACTATATACTATCTCTTTTGTCTGAACAAATGTCTGTTATGGAGCCAGAAGTGTCAGTATAAAAATCAGCATTCTTCCTTACATTTGGAAGGAAGCACCTCATGCCCATCTTCTGTCATCCAGTATTAAAATCCTTTGGATAACTTTTGAATGCTCATATCTAGGTTGTTGTAAATGCAATAGCCTTTAGCATACTGAGAATGACATTCCTGAAAACTATAAATTATGTTTAATAGAATAAATAATCCCAAGTTAATAGTGGTAAGCAAGCAAAATGTAGAACCTGTCACTGTACTGAATGTATTGCTTTCATGATTCAGTGTATAAAGGAATTCAATTTCTTTAAATTTAAATTAAGCTGCTGCAAAACATTTATGTTGTAGTGTCAGAAATACAAAGAATTCAGCACCCTAAGGAACTGGGCCCTACTTGGTGCTGAAATAAAACTGCCAGAGTTAGGGGGGGAAGCGCCTTTCTGTTGGGCAGCAAGAGCTGGCTGTGGTTAAGGAAATGATACGGAGCTACTCCACTCACCAGTACAGCTGCCTCATACAGGATGAGACTGAGAATGCAAGTAGATGGAAATGATCTGAGGTTACAGGTGTTCAGCATCTGGACAAAACCAGCAACTTTCAAACATGAGAGCTGCAAAACTGTGTCATATGTCTTTTAGTCTTCTGGAAAACAAAACATCTCATTTAAAACAATGGAACCCATAATGGATTTTTTGAAAGAGATCTGCAGGAGAGATTTCCAGAGCATAATTCGCACCTACAACAAAAAGAGTTAGCTTTTACCAAATCTGATATAACTTAGTTCTCTTCAACTTCAGCATCCACATCTTTCAAGTGTATGCAGGTTATGTTCATATGTCACTGTCTGGGAAATATTACACTTTTTCCAAATTCTTTTCATCAATCAGGTCTACAACACAGATTTTCCAAAGCAATATTGAAAACAGTAAATATCAATGAAACTAGCAAAATGTTGAAAATACAGAATTTTTTCTTTTCCTATAGAGAGTCTCAGTACCTACAGTGGCTATTTGTGACAAAAAATATCACGTGCGTTTCCTCTGCTGCTGCAATCACAACTGAAAAGCAAGACACGGTACTTACTGCAATTCTTAAAAACAAAAACAAAAAAAAAAAAAAAAAGAAAGAAAGAAAGAATGGAAAAGAGGTTAATTTCATTTGCAAATCATGAATCAGTTTGATTTTCTAACAATAAAAAGATTATCAAGAAACTAGAGTTGCCATGCTGGGAGAGCCACTAACTACCAAGTACTAAATCCACAGAATTATATCAGCAAGACCTCAGCCCAACCAGAGCATTGTTTTGCATTGCCTGCAAGTCTATTATGTCTGGTCTCAGAAACTATACAAGTTTGTGTCTGAAGAAAAAGGCAAATTTCTGACCTGCTTTATAAAACATAAAAAAGGAGGACTCAGGGAACTACAGACTTTAATAAAACAGTTTCACACGAGGTTGATAAATATGTCAGGAATTCTGGAATATATTTGAACCAAAAGTCTGAAATAGGTGACCACCTGAAGATATCATAGCCCTAACTCTCCTTCATCTTCACAAAAATCTGACCATCTACTGATGTGAAAGAGAAGATGAATGACTGCGATTTGAAGTCTCTTGACTGCCAGGTCATTGCTTATTTCCTCATATCTTTTGTTTTAGCTTATAGTTTTTTGTTTATAGGAAACCATACTTGGGAAAGGCTGGTAAATGAATTGGTACTCATCACAGAAAAAAAAAACCAAAAACAACAATACATTTGTTTGTTCTCAGTATGCTCACATCATCATTGTGAACTTCCTCTTCCTTTCAAGAAAACTCAAAACCACTACTCTGAGGACTCTGAGGGACTTCAAAATGGTGAATATAACACCAGAGAAAAGGGGAGAAAGGAAGGCTTTCTTCTATAACGTTTTCACTACATGATTAATGAGGTTTACTGTATTAAATAGGTAGGTTTGACCAAAGTCATAACAGACTAACTCACCTAATGGAAAGTTCTTGGTTCGATGCTTGCAGCATATTGACTTTGACCAGTGGCAAGATTTTGATAGTGACACCACAGAGGAGAGCTATGGCTATCTCTTAAGAAAACAGATACATCAAAATGCAACTCAGTTCTTCACAATTAAATATTGGAAAGATTAATTTCAAATGTGTCTCTCTCCATTTTTCACTCAACATCTTCTGGCAATCAAATCCAAGTGCCTCACACCACTGAAAGTTTTACAGCATTTTCAGGACAGCTGTGGCTGACATACACATTTCTCATCATATTAAAGTAGGTGCAAGAAAGCTCATTTCGCACAGTTTGTCATCTGAGAAAGTGAAAATGGATCATGTTAATAAAATAAAGTGAGAGATCCATACCACACGTTCTGTCAGCCAGCAATTTGTATGAACCCCCCCGTAAATGCAAAGAGAGCACATCCAGATACATTACTGTGGGGCAATGGGACGGCAGCTATCAATTATTTAAAGGAAATCTGCCTGAAGACAGTCATGCCAAGCACCTGAATCCACTTTAATGGTGGAAGTGTCTGCATATGCTTGGAGACTTTAAATCCTTTATGAGTAACACTTCTGTTATGATGTACAGACGGAGAACAAACTTTAAGGAAGATTGTAGTGAGTGTGTGGCTGTTGTGGGTGATGCTGCTCAGCAGTGCTCAGGATCTGTAGTTCAGCTTGTTGCACAGATGAAAAGTTAGAACTTTCAAGTGATCTTGCATAAACAAACATTTCCACATCACAGCTGCTTGCTTCAATGGCACTTACATTAAAAGTCTTAATGAAAAATTAAGTGAATGATGCTGCATGCTGAAAAAGTCTTGCTTTTGACAAACTGATTAACTATAAAGCCTCCGCTAGCATTTCTTGGATGCATTCCCAGAAAAACCTCTTGTACTCAGGTAATTCCTCATCCTAGGTATATAAAAGAATACAAAACATTCTTAAATACAGAAAAAGTTGTTTTCAGCAACCAATAGGAATTATTTTGATAATACTTACTTGGTGTTAAAATACACATATCAGCATTTACAGAGCAAACACCATTTCTCGTGCTAAGCTTGTTCTTCACTTAACACAATACTTCAAAGTCCTCAGTGCATTTTTTAAAAGCAGCAGAATATAATACTGCAGAAAATTTCACTCCACAAATCTTTCTTTTTCCTCCACTAAAATAAAAACTTGTGCAGTTCATGTAAGGGAATTTAATTTTAATAAACAGTTTGAAAACATTCAAATCATTTCACAGCTTTGTGCTTCTACAGAATCAAAATACTCAGATTTTCTGTTTGGTGAGGCTTTTTGCTAGTTACCTGGAAGCACAGATTGCATCAACATTTGCTCTGAAAGACAATCAGCACCAATCAAAGCAACGAGTAATTGGGAAGCAAAGTGTCAGACCAACGGAAATATCACACATGCATTAGCCGAAATTCTATTTACAAAAACCTGTAGGCAATAGCTGCACAAAATGGCAATAGAAACAAAAGAAAAATATATGTGTATATTTTTTTCAGTAGATTTCTGTACAAGTGAAGGAGGAAAAGGAGAAGAAAGAAAAGCCAGCACTTAGAAGAAAAGAGAGTGCTCTGGAAATGTACAAGCAGAATGCCTGGCAGGAGAGAAATCTGGCAGCAAAACTCAAAAGAAATGCCCAGTGGGAATGAGACTGGGAAGAGGGAAAGGAAGAGAGAAAGATGGAGAGAGAGAGACAGAGAAGTTGTTCTGTTGCCTGGCCGCAATACATAAACCTTACCAGCTTCATGCGTTGTCATGGCCAGCAGGCAAAAAATTCCTGAACACTTGTCCAGGCAACATGCTTTGTGGAATGAAAGCATCTGCAATTCTTCCTGAGAACCTAAATTAAGTTAGAACATGAAGTTTCTATTATGATTATATCTCTAATTTTAAAGTTTTAAGAATGGTCTGGGTCTGTATGATGGTTCTGCTCTTGCTCTTTAACATCATGCTTTTTCACCACTTCCTGATCTTCTGTTCATCACCAGCATGGCGAAGTAGCCAGATGCAGACTCTCTGCTGTATCATTAACTCATTCATTGTGCTTGCCTTCTTACATAAAATGATGCTGTGGGCACTCTGTTATGCTAATGCATCACAGCAAAATCACCTGCAAAATGTGGAAAGTGCCATGATTTGTATTCTTTCAGAATAAAAAAACACCCATCCCAGTCTACGTGGAAGGTACATAAAGCGGCCAGGTTGGATGGGATTCTGGGCAACCTGGCCTAGTATTAGATAAGGAGGCTGGTGGCCCTGCCTGTGGCAGCGGAGTTGGAAATTCATAATCCTTGAGGTCCCTTCCAATCCAAGCCATTCTATGATTCTATGATCAGGGTCTAATGTGTGGCATCCTGGTACCAGTTGGCTTCCTATGGTTCTCTTCAGGTACACTGAAACACGTAAGGTGAGGAGATCTTTTAAGAGTATTTAGGAATACACTTCTACTGTTATGCCTCATAACTTTTTCTGGTGTTTCTGTTCTGTTGCTGGCAACTGCTGAGAGCAATCTCATCTTGAAATGCATCTTTCTACAAAGTTTTGAGGATCATCCTGAGAACACTTCTGAAGAACGTTCTTCTCAGTTTGCATTGGACGATGTTGCCATGTGCAGCATGGGTGCCTGTGGAGGATTTTATTCCTCATGTGCAGCTCAGTAGCCCTTATTCTGTGATCTTAGGACATGTTGTTTCTCTTCAGCACAGCATTATAGGGGAAATTACATTTCCTCCTGTGTTCACAGTTTGCTGTAGCTCATAAAAATATAGATATATTATGAGCAGAGCGTCCCTGTAACTCCATGAGAAAGAATTGTTCTCTTCCTGGCTCCCCTTCAGCACTCAACAGTTAACATGACCAGGCTGCTTCTTTTGAGCCCATGAAATATTAACAGAGCTCTTGGCCAAGTACCACAAGAACTTCTGCCCAATCTGTTTCAAGAAATGTACTGTCTTTTGTGGGGAAGCAGGGAGGAAACATTATGGTAAAGTCTTATTTGGCTCTTTTCAGCAGAGCTGACAATATGTTGTGGGCTGAGTGACTGTAGGCTGAACAAATTGGCAAGATCAAAACTGTTCTTTAAGCTTGACTGTGGAGCCAAGTCTGATGGGTAACATAACATACTGTATAGCCTCTAGTCAGAATAAAATCCATATAGTGAAAATAAATAAATAAATATAGCATGCAATCATCAAATGTATTCATAAGTTCCCTGTTTTAACCCACGTCTTATCACCTTAAAACTATGAGAATGCTTTGGGTCTCCTTGGCTGAGGCAATACCTTGACGCAAATGCCCTCCTTATGACTCTCCACTGCCTTTCTCCATGCTCTGTAAATACTCTGGAAGAAAACAGAAACATGGACAGAAGGAAATCATTGAGAAGTTTTCCCAGTATGGGAGATATTTAACTGCCCTACTCTTAAAAATCTCCAAGGGAGAAGACTTCATAGCCACCTTGAATAGCTGTCTGTTTTGGCATATCAGCTCTTCCAGATATCAAAATCCTGTTGCTGCACATTAACCAAACTATTCCCCACACTATCCCTAGCAGGGATAGGATGAGCCAGAACCATACTCCTCCCCACCAGGTTTTTCAAAAGAGAAAAGTTTGACCAAGTCTTCTATCCTCTACATAACAAATTGAAATCCTCCAGTTTTTCTATTGGCCTTACATTCTCCTCTTACCATTCTTTTACCTTAAATTTTATATATCATGTTCCCAATGAGTTTCTACAATATTGCAAATAGATATGTATACAACCTAACAAATGCACAAACATCCAGAATTATTTATTTCTTTTTGTAATAGTATTACATTGTTGACTCATTTTTGGACCCAAATTAAAATTTCCTTTCCATTCTACATGACATTATTGCCTACTTACATGGTCACTTCTTTATATTTGTACGTGATATTTTTCCATCCATACATCATAATTTGTATTTTTGCATTCAATTTCATGTGGTTTACTTAAGATATTTCGCCAATTTATCCAGTCTTCACTTTTATACTCATTAATGGAAACGCTGAAAAGAATGGCATATGTTGATTTAAGAGTAATGCCTCCTTTTTTTTTCCACAGAAACTACAACAGATACTAAGAGCACTATAACATTATTTGATAGAGCAAATTCTCAGCTAGAGCACTACTCCACAGTACAGACATCACTATTAGCTATGCATTTGTGTCAGTGATGAACAAGAGCCTGCATGCTGTGCTTGTAAGAATCTGCACCAGGGAAGGTGACTCGCTGTCACCGTTACAACTGCTGAACTGCACCACCCACCACCTCACATTGCACTCACATCCACGATCTCCATCAACACTCAGCAACATTTTTTTCACATGAGGGAATTCAACGTCACACTTCTGCTTGATATGCACTTCTATGTCAGATCCTACTCTGTCAGGCTGCCCTGCTGTTGCCATCTGTCATGTAGCAACAGCATGTAATGGAATATTGGTGGGAAGGTTCAGCCTTTACTGCCATACCACCACCATCAGCTTCTGAAGCCATCGGCTGACACCATAAAAAAGAAGGTATTACTTTTGGAGCGGTCCTTGTGCATTTAAAATGCTTCCCTAGGTCCCAGTTTGTAACACATTCCAATTGACCTCTACATCAGTCACACAGCCTTGTTGCCTACACACATTCCACCGGCCCTTAGTAAGAAGTTCTAGATGCTACAATAGGTACATTCAGTATGGACACATAGGCAGTGTGCTAGGCAACACAGTGCATAGTATTTTGATGTGCAGAGAGCAGGCAAAGACTTGAACACGATTAGGTGATGTTATGATCCCCAAAGTAGGAGATTCTTGAAGGGGAACAGAAAGCAGTCTTCTTTAATGACTACAGCTACCCTGGCCCTCCCTTTTTCCTCTTAATTCCTTTTTCAAACCTCTCCACATTGTATTAGGACTACTCAGTATGTTCTTGGAGATGATAACTGATTTCTAACAGTGACTGCCTCAGCTCATTCCTCAGTTGTTACATATTTATTGTGTGCTTAAATTAGCAATCTATTCTTAAATCTCTTTCTTAGTATTTATTTTGTGCTCTTGATTATTGGCCATCAAAAGAGGGTTAAGGATTTTAATTATTTGCACGGTGCCAGATGAGATCAAATGTACTTAAATGAACATTAAATAAATAATAAAATTTGACTCTGGGGCCAAAACAACGGTGATAAACAAAAAAATATCTTGTTATTATCTCCTAATGAGAACTACTGATTATTTTTTACATTTCATTTGACAGTCTTCATCTCAATTAATTCTACACGGCAAAGTTAAATTATTCAGCTTGATAAAGATCATCCTGACTCTAAAGCATACTTATTAAAAGAAATTAAAGCCTGGTGCTAATCAGGCAAATGAGCATGTGTTACTAACAACATACAAAGCCCAAAAATGAGATAATGACAGGTAGGGTGACAGATAAAAAGCATTGCAATTTAAAGGTAGTGAAATGCTTTGAGCTTCTTGAAGGGAACAGGCATTGTTGATGCGTCTTCTGAAAGAACATCCTTTGCTTTTTAAATTGCTCTTCTTTCATATCTCAGATATAAAAGCATCTGCACTGAAAAATGACTGAAGATGATAAAAGTAGTAGGTTGAGAAGTTGTACCACAGCCAGGAAAGAGTCACAGAATGAAAAGCAGGGCTTCTTGTTAAATAGCACAGAGGCAGTTTTCCACAAATGATCCAAGAATTCCCACTCTTGGCACATCTATTCAGAAAGTTATTTCAAAGTGAACTGGGAAATCTGGATTCAGTGCTGATTTCCACTGACCTCCAATATATCTCTATCAGGATACGTTTGTTACATCTGGAGTCATGGCAATGCTAATGTATTTATGTGTCTATGGGTAAGCACTACACAGGTAAGTAGATCAGCAAAGCTTGCATTTTGATGGAATGAAAATTCCTGAATTAGCTTCAAATGCTTTGTTTTGCTCAATGACAAGTGAGATTATTTGCTTTTATTTGCATGGAACACGTGGTTCTCCGGATGAGAGAATTATCTATAATTTTTTCCTGGCAACCCTTATTGTTTTGGGACACAGCCTGACATAGTAACCTTGCTCTGTTAAGAGAGATTTCCGCTTGAAATGTAAGTCTGAGTAGTCAGGAAGGTTTCTGTATTAGCAAGCTCATGGACTGGAGGGATCAGTTTTGCCTGATGTGGGCAGGAGGATGCGCAGTCCTGTGCAGCCCCTCAGTGATTGTGGGCTTCACACTCCAGTAAGAGCAGCCTGCAGACTGCCCATGAAGAGCAGATTCATGCTGCAGGGTTTGATGAGATTACAAAAGAATTATTTCACAGCTCAGGAAATCTTGTCTGGCCTGGGTGCCCTGGAGCTTGGCCCGCTGGCCAAGGTGGTTATGTGATCCACAGGCAGTCATTGGCAGCATGCTCTCCCCCAGCCCTTTTGGAAAACACATTTTTCAGAGTGCTATAGGTATGTTCAAGGACTCCCACGGTTTAAGTTAATTTTTCACATAGCTTATCCAAGACAAGACATAAGCACAGGGAAGTGCCATGTGGCCCAACATACTGTGGATTAAACACCTGAATATAACTACAACTTTTGCACACCACTTACTCACGGGTTCTCTGGGGAGAGGAAGAAGAGCTAGTTTGTGCTTCAGAGAATTCCAAGTCCTGAGCTTCTCCAAATATACAGGAGGAAATTCACCCAAATATTTTGCTCGTCAAAGTACGCTCTTGTCTGCTGTTTCTTATTTTGCATGGGTTGGCCATGGATGTTATCAAACCCAGACCTCACCTTCCAGAAACAAACACAAATTATATGTAAGTGAAAAGGTAGTCAGGGAAATGTAACAGTTGTTTCCATCACATTATTGACCAGAACCTTCAGGTTCTATTATTGGTCTTTTGATGTATGCACTGAAATACAGCATAACAAAATACATCACTGTTAATTGATAATAAGCTCTTTCTACTCTGTCAAGAAGAGAACCTGAAAGAAATGACATACAAAAAGACAAAAGATGGATACAGACTATTTCCATTATTTGAACTTGCATTCCTGTGCTCAGCAGTCTCTTTTGCACAATAACAATAATCAGAGCCTGCATTTTTGGGTCTGCAGTTGACAATCAGAGAAAAGGTGCAAATAGAGGACTGTGTAACTACTTACTTAGAAAGGAGTAAAATCATGCCATGTCATTCTGTGAGCGCATTTTCAATCGTAGAAACCACTTGGGTGCAAAATGATAAATGTAATTTTGTTTATTCTTCCCTTTATAAGTCACGCAAAATAAAAGGAATACATTCCAACATGGATATAACTTTCAATAACTTGTTCCAGGTTACCCTTATCTGTTTACTACTAACACTGAATTGCCATGTGACACTTTTCCTCCTGAAATCATATAGATAGGAATTAAAAAACTGAGACCATTAAAGATATCCGTGTTGGCATAGTACCTGGATTTGACTCAAATTCAAATATTCACATTACAATTTTTGCAAAGAGAAAAAAAAACTTCTCATCTCATAGAATATCAGAAATTGAATTTTTATATGCAGTTCTTAGAAAGCTCATCTAGCATCTCCATGCATGTGCATTTCGTCACATTGTGGTGGGCCTTTCAGGAGTTCACATCCATCTCATTTATAATTCAATGATAAGCATGACTCACAATGCGATTCCTGAATAAAATTAAGTGTATTTTGAGCCTCGTGACTAGAATTTATTGTTGTTAACATGTTTTAAGAGCCCACTAAATCTTAAATTTGAGAAATACTTTTGCCTGATATTTAATTGTAAATACATCTGATTTTTGGGGTTGGTTAAATACAACCACAAGACCTTTTGTTATACCTAATTTTTTTTCCCCCAATTTCTGACTGTACTACAGTTGGCAGATATGATCGTAACATCCAAGATAGAATGATGGCATAGAGATGCAACACACCATCTTGTTGCTTAGAGTAGCATATAATTTACAGAGCTGTACTTTTTTGTAGCTAGCACTGATCTGGTCTGTCCTGCTAAGTTATTCAATAAACACAGTGCTTCACACTAGCAGCATTTGTTGGGAATGTGTTATCTGGGTATGTATTATTTGGGTAGATTTTCTTTCCCTCAGGAGTGCTGTACAGTAGCTAAATTTAGGTACTCACAATGAAGTTCAATCATGAAGTGCAGGTATAACACAAACCTGCATTAAAGCCAGTCAGTGTTGGGTGCTCAGGAATGCAGGATATTTTATATAAACTCTCACAGACAAGAATCATATTACTTATTGAGCAGCATGCCAAAATAAATTTGCAATAAGGACATTGCTGAGTTAAAAGAAGAAACCTTACTCAAAATGCAAGCCCAGCTTTTTCTTGAAGTTTGAAAATCCAGCTGACCAGTAATTCTTCTGCACATGCCAATCCCTCCTTTCCTGTGTGACTAGCAATGATGAACTCTTTTTCAGCTTTCCAGGTACACAAGGTAGGTTTTACTTATTTGTTTGCCTGATGACAACAGTAAGTTGCTAAGATGAAGCTCTGCAGTCTTGACATGGCAGAAAAACCCCAAACCCTTGTCCTTCTCAACGCTCTTTTTTTCCTCTAACAGTTCTACTGTTGGATAAGAGACTGCAGTTTAAACAACCTGCCAGAGGGATTTCTGTTGAACAGTAGAGTTAACTGTTATTTCACATAAGGTCTCCAGAAGCAGTTTCTTTTGTATTTGTTTTTTTCAATGCCCTATCTTCAGTATTCTTTGTACATTACAATCTTACCCATAAGGGATGTGATCATGTATCCTTTACTATTTCTATGGGCACAGCAAGTTGTTACTGAGACATGCTCTCCAACCCAATGCCTACTATCTGATATAGAACATTATACATAAGACTTTTGTATCAATAGAAAATTAGACTTCCGCTTTTAACTCGGGAATAAAGAGAAGATGAAATTGCAATTCATAATTCACTGATATGTTAAAATAAAGCCTTCTCCAACAACTGCTGCCATCCTTTTACAACACTTCATACTTTACCCTATCCCTACTTCTCTTGACTTCATTTCCTCCTGGGAGTCTTTCAGAAATAGGAATCGGTGTCAAGGCATGGCAAGCCCACATTCCTTTCTCTTAGGGGCAGAGAAACAAAGATGTTCTGAAGTTATGGCTAAACATGTAAAGACACAAATACCTCGTGCGTATCTGTCACTGGTGGGTCAGCTCTGGCAGCACAGTTTAGATGATCTGTTATGCCAAGAAAGCCTCTTTTACACTCTTTCTGGGCCACTGTAAACCCAAGGTACAGGAGAGCAGCAAACCCTAGAGTACATTTCATATGCAAATGTAAGAATAGGAAAAGCTGAAACTGGAGGCAAAAAAATCAGACAGAAATGTAAGTGCCAAACCTTGGCAAATGCAGCTCAAAGAAGTGCGTGTCTGGCTCCATGCACCTGAATTGAAACATTCTTGGCTTGAGAGGTGACTTGTCCTGGAAAAAAGGATGTGGAATCATTTCAGTGTCAGAGAAAGATCCTATCTGTAAAGCCCTGTTATCTTGTGAAGAAAAAATGTGATATCAAAGACAGAGCATATGAAAGATGGGCAGCAGCCCACAGACTGTTCAATGGTATACAATCTTCCAAGGTTTTGCCAAGCTAAAGGGAAGACATGCCAACAAAAACAGTTTTTCCTCCCAACATGAGACCAATTACACATCCATTGTGTTCAAGGCCAACGGCTTCTGCTTTCCCCTGAGCTCTGAGCTGGCAAGGTGTGGGGGGGCACTGCCTCTCACAGTCACTTCCTTCAAATGCTCCAAACTTCTGGCCAAAACAGCCTTGTGCCAGGCAATTCGAGATCTGCCTCTGTGCCTCTGAGCTTTGGCATTGCATCAGACAGTTTGTTTGGTACAACACACTTGTTCCACTGAGTAACTCCATTAAGCTGAGAAACTAGTTTCTAAGCAGTTTTCCTCCTCTTGTGCTATGGTTAGATGGAGCGTGTATCCCCAGCTTAAATAAATCTTGTTTATGCTTTTTCTATGCAAGGGTAAGCATAAAGGGTATTGTCCCTTAAGAAGCTATACTGAACAATGAAATGTTTAGTGCACACATAGGAAAAAAGTATTATTTAAGATTATCATGGAACAGCATATAACCATATTAGAAACAGCATTGTATATTAGTTTTCATTTACTAAGTTTTTTTCTAATATACCTGCCAGGATATCTCAGCCATCCAGGCATGCAAGCTGAAGAATCTGCTTGAAAAAATATTGGATATGGACATTTACAACATGCATTACATTATACTTCTTTCTAGTTAAGAATATGCAACGACTGATATACATCAATGAAGCTTTCTTGATTTCAGTGCAGTGATGCCAATGCACATTATTCAAGGATTTAGCTGTACTTTTCCTGCTAAAAACAGAATTTCAAGCTGTCCAAATAAACATACTTCTGACACATATGTAAATAAACAAAAAGGAATGAGACAGACTTGTTTTGATGTGACTGTTCACTGAGACACCCTTCTTTCCCACAACTGCACATTCATGCAGCACTGACAAAGCCCCACGCCTCATCCTTCTCAGTAGTTTCTCTGCCTCAGAGTAGTTGAACATAACAATCTCCTCACACTTGCACAGCATTCCTGTCTCTCTTCAGTTCCTTGCCCCACCTCAGATATTTCCCTCTGATGTCTCTGGACACACATGAATTCAAGCTTAGAAAATAGGGTCTTGCCACCTGCAATAGTTAGAAGGAATCTTTTCAGAACGAGGAAAAAGAAATACCACTTAGCAGCAAAAATCTTGTGTGTGATTTCATAGAAGCAGACAAATATGTACTTTACCAGTTCTTGGAGTCCTTCCTTCTTACCCAGAGTGGCGTGCATGTGTGTGCATGTGCAGCCTTGTTCCATGTAGTGCAGGAGGCCTTCTTCCCATGCCATCCTGGGATCCTGATACAAAAAATGGTAGTTATTTGTTTGTGCTCTGCAAAGTTTTTCAAACTGCAGGCCTTTGTTACTCAGTGTGACTGTGAGAAGGACTGGACTGCCTGGAGATGAGAGGCTCCTCCTCTGCCACGCTGAAACACAGAGCATGCATGCATTTGACATGGCTTTATACAAACGTTGCTTTTGAATAACATGCTGCATTACCACTTTGTACATTTTCTACCATATGCAAAGCAATTCTGGATAAAGAAAGATGATTAAAAGTCTTCTGCTGCAACCTTGAAGTAAGAGGCTGAGAGCCCCAAGTTCTCTGCAGGACAGCCCAACAATATCATTATGAAAGCACAAATTTGAGGTAAAGAACTTCAATTAAGAGCATCACATCACATATTCAAGATAAATTTACTGATTACTTCCTTTCTTTAGAGAAGCACATAAGATAATTCACTTGCAGAGGCAAGTGTTTTGTTCTTGTTTAACTGTAATTAGATGGTTTAACTTGTTTCTTGTTTAACTGTAATTAGATGGTTATTCTTGAGTTTAAAAAAAAATTAGCCATATTAGTATAGTCTGTATCTGCCAACCATAGATTTTTGCTTTAGAACATAAATAGTATACTGTAAATATATTAGCATACAAACTAAATTGCTTTCAGAAAGGACTGACCCCTCAGGTGTTATATTGCCATATTTGTATGTAGATAATACACACAATTTGAATTCTGCTGCTTTTATCTTTTTTGCTTTTTTATTAACTGGCAAACAAAACCTTTTTGATATATGTTGTTTCCTTTTATCTTCTGAGGGCAAAAAATATCCAAATACTTTTGTATGAACCCAGCTTGCTAACCATTCTGATACTTTAAGCACTAGATTAGCTACAACCATGAGAGGCAACAGGTTGCTGTCATTAGTGGGTATTTCACCACTGATATCAATGAATTTTTAATCAGGCAATGAATCCTGTTTCCACATTAATTTTGACTCCAAATTAATAAGCAGTCCATTAATGCTTTATGGAAAGTAGCAAAAATCAAACCTGTGTTTCTAATAGTTACCCTGAATATAAACAACAGGACATATAAGAAACTTAACAGAGCCACTTTTAATTTTCTGATGCAATTCTATATTAGAAAAAAAAAAGATTATTATTCAGCCATAGTGATTCCACTAGCCTAAATCAACTAGAAATAAGATTAGAGTCAAAGCCAGATGTTGCTGGAGAAAACAGAGATGACTTAAGAAGAAAACTTAAGACTTAATTTTCCCTCGATGAAGTTGCCAGATGAGAGTCTCTTCATTCCCAAAACATAAACTGACATGTTAGCTAACAGTTATGAGAATATGATGAATTAACTTATTATCCCTACACTTTCTCTTAAAA